TTCTTACGCGTAAAGTTCTACTTCAGGCTTCGTCAGGTAAAAGCACGGCCGACGATCCTTTTCAGGGTGTACACGCTGTCCTCGTAATAGTTGGAGATATCTCAGAAGAGAACCCCTATCAGAAATCAACGGCGCTTCAGGTAAATCTTCGTAGGTGGAAGCCGCAATTTAATAACCGAAACGATTTAAAAAGCTTACAAAAAGTTTCTATAAGCAATGGCTACTAGGCTACGAGTTTACGGACACATTGATTCTCATACTTCAGGACAAAATACACTTTGTGGTCAAAGAAAAGAGAGGTATTCTTTAAAATTGAAAGATTTTAAAAAATGACAGTGTTCCAGACCTAAATTTTGGTGCCGTTTTCAGCCGATGTACTAGAAAAACTAAAACAAGGAGGTCAGGTGCAAATAGAAATTCACAAGAGAACTAAGGATGCATCTCACAATCAAAAAATATTCGAATCAATAATTTCAAAGATCACCGAAGGAGAAAAAGTAATATTTAAAATAAATATTTTTCAACACATAATGCTTTTAGATTGTTTTACTTACCAGTTTATCTGTTAGAAGCGAATTGGTTTATTGTTAAAAGAAAAGATTTCCGGAAAATTTGTCGACGAATGGAAAGCTGTTTATAACAAACACGAAAAGGATTTTGAAGAAGTTGACATAGCGTCAGGGATTGCCGCAGCTTTAGCGGTAAAGGACGAAGATGAACTGGTAAATTTTACTATTAAAGGAAATCATGTGTAATGCAGACTTTATTTAATCATATAATTTGAATATTCAGAAAACGATGCGTACCGCTAGCAAAATAAGTATTTCCATGATGAATCGCTTCATTTACTTGGTAACCTCAATGATAGACGAGGAAAAGGAAATAACGCACGAACAACTGGCGGAAGATGTTGAGAACATTTTGTATTCAAAAGAAGATAAATGGCTCAGCAGTCAAAAAAGCATGCAAGATGTGAGGAATATTTTCGAATTTTTTTTTTTAAAGAAATACAATTATATATTTTTAATTTCTTGTTGAACATGCAGGTAGATTTTGAAAGAACGGACATATGTTATGCACCAATTATTCAAAGCGGGGGTGAATACGACTTCAGAACTTCAGCCCAGTCAAACACGAGTCTTTTGCATGAGGGGACGATTCTTTTTTCACTTGGCGTTAGATATAAATCATATTGTTCGAATATTGGTCGGACTATTTTAATGAACCCGAATAAGGTTATCTATCATATATTTTTATATTCACAAGTTCTCCGAATAAACGCGGGTCAAGATTTTACAATTATTTCGTGGTATTTATTAAAAATTGTGACGATAGGATCAAGAGAAAACATATGAATTCCTCTTAGAAATCCAACGACGAATATTAGAATGGATTAAAGATGGAGTTAAGATTTGCGATGTTTACACGAAGGCGACGAGATACATCAAAACTAAACGCCCTGATCTTTTGGATAAATTTGTCAAGAATCTTGGACACGGGGTAAGTATTTCGAATTGTAAAATTTCTTATTATTGTTAAATGTACTAGACAAAAAGTTTTATGATTTCATTTACTAATATTTATGTTTAAATTTAGATTGGAATTGAATTTAGAGAATCTAGTTACATTCTGGGTCCGAAAAACAACAAAGAATTCAAGACTGGGATGGTACTAAATTTGTTTATTGGATTCACCGATCTGGAAAACCCGAAAGCAACAGATGAAAAAAGTAAAATGTCAGCACATAAGATTTTACTACTTATTTTCGACTTTTTTTCATCGGCGAATTATTAACAATTCTTGTAAAATAGCTATGCGCTTTGGTTAATAGACACAGTTAGAGTTGGTGGTGAATCGGTCCAGGTGTTGACAGAAAGTAACAGGAGTTTTAATAGTATCTGCTTTTCGTTTAAGGTATGATGTTTGTTACTTTTTAGGCAGCATGTTATATATAATTTTATAACGCAAAATCTACATAAAGGATGCGAATGAAAGTAAGCGTCCTGCAAAAGCGGTTGAAACTAAAAGAAGTGCTCCTCGAAA